GGGATGTAGTCAGCACTAGGACTGAGGCTAAAGGCAATGAGGGTCCCATACTATTAATAGTAGAGGAATGAAGAAGCCAAAGGCCTGGATAACTTCACAGGGTCCCAGAATGGTCTGCCTCCAGATCTCTATCTCCTTTCCTCTAGAAGAAGGAAATATACTTCTATCTTGTTTAAACCACTGACATTTTAGGGGTCCAATGATATGCAGCTAAACTTAACTCCAATCTTTACTATCTGCTACACCGTGATGGAAATGTTTCCTAAATGTTTCACTCCATCCCTATCTATTCTCTTGGTGGACTTGGTCACTCCTGAGCCTCTTATTCTCCCTGTCTTAAGTCACACACACCCTTGGGGTCCAGGCACCAATAACATCTTCAGGCTTCCAAACTGATACACAATGGAGATCACTGTGCCTGATAAATGGTCATTTGGGGGCAAAGAATTAAGAAGAGTTTGTCCACTGGATGAACTATTTCTACATAAATTGCTATTCTTTCCCCTGCCCTCCTGGAGCCTCAAGATGGCAGAACAGATCAGTATGGGCTGGGATTTTCCAGAAGAACTGTAGCGGGTAGGGAGTAATTTAAGGAAAGGATCTAGTGGAATTATAAGATGATATATAGGCTACTGGGGCCAGAGAAGGAAGTAAGTTGTTGGGAGTTTAGACAGTGGAGGTTTCTACTTCCTGGGTGGAGTCCTTATTGGACAGAGTGGCTGAGATATTGTCAGATTCAAGCAACTCTACGATGCTGTAGGGAGAGCAGTCCTCCAGACCCAGCTTGCTGCAGAGCCAGCCACAGAAGCCTTTCTCCATGTCCCGGGCAGCTTGCCACCATGCTCCCCAGGACCAGGAGAGCTGGACCACGGCAGCATAAAGACCCAGGGCAGAGGCCATGGCCATGATGAGCACTGGATAGAAGAGAACGAGGCAGGGGCAGTATGAGACCTTGTGCCAGAAGGTCCTCTCCTCATTGTACACGAGGAAGATGTTGTACCAAGTGATGGTGCCATAGTAGAAAGAGACAACGAAGGAGAGGATGAAAACCACAGGTAGGCAGACCAGTGTCCAGAGGACCACGTGGGGCCCACGGTCAGCTCCCACCTGGCACGCTTCTCTTCCCTCTGGCATAGCTTCCCTTGATGATTCTTTCGGCTTGGTCAGTTCTTGCAGCTCCTTCTCTGTCAATGTGACGTGGATATCCACCATCTGACCCTTTTTCTTCCCACGTGTGATGGTCCCAGTTAATGTCACATAGCGGCTGTCCAAAGGCATGTTCCACACACCTGCAGGGCACAAAGGAG